GTTAGAGGTTAGGGTTAGAGGTTAGGGTTAGAGGTTAGGGTTAGAGGTTAGGGTTAGAGGTTAGGGTTAGAGGTTAGGGTTAGAGGTTAGGGTTAGAGGTTAGGGTTAGAGGTTAGGGTTAGAGGTTAGAGGTTAGAGGTTAGGGTTAGAGGTTAGGGTTAGAGGTTAGGGTTAGAGGTTAGGGTTAGAGGTTAGGGTTAGAGGTTAGGGTTAGAGGTTAGGGTTAGAGGTTAGGGTTAGAGGTTAGAGGTTAGGGTTAGAGGTTAGGGTTAGAGGTTAGGGTTAGAGGTTAGGGTTAGAGGTTAGGGTTAGAGGTTAGGGTTAGAGGTTAGGGTTAGAGGTTAGGGTTAGAGGTTAGGGCTAGAGGTTAGGGTTAGAGGTTAGGCGTGTCAAAAATCCGCCGCGGGACCCCCCCTCCCCCCCTCAGACTCCCCTAACCACCACTTAGAACACGCCTCGCCCCTTTGCAGAGACTAACTTGGCTTTTGCAAAGGGGTCGGCGGATATCACACCCAGCCCCATCAATGCTTCTGAAGCAAGCCATGAAAGCCCTTGTTCAGAATAAAGCTTGTGGCAGGTTCCTCTGTGGTTTTGCGGGGAGGCTTATAGCAGGCATTCAAGTGGGGGCGATAATTCCGTGCACGAAAGATGCCGGGTCAAATTGAGCAACCTGGAGGGGCAAATTCCCTGGAATATTTTGATGTTGACAGGACTTGGCTTCAGCAACGCGCCATGCATCCCCTTTCATCCCATCACGGTTGCCAGGTGAACTTTGTTCAACCATTGGTCTGCAATTCCAGGGTTTACCCCCTTTGCACCTCTTGATCGCGTAAGGAAACCCCTGCAAAGCCAAGCCATTGTATAACAGCAAGAGACAGTAAGATTGGCAGCATCCACCGCAGCACTAGTATTCATTGGGGGAGATTGGGGGCGTCCGCCAGAAGTCCACCACCATCAGTCAGGGTCCCTACGTGGGTGTCTTTTTTAGAACACCCCCCCAAAAAACTGAAAAGAAAAACAGTTTGCCGGTTGTCCTTTTGGTTTGAGAGCGGCGGCTCATGGGGGGTGGGTTTTTGCATGTTTGTTGTTTTTGTTCCCCCTTTTGTTCTTCTTCATGTTTTTTGACATTGCTTCTTTACAAGTTACACTTTCTTGTATTTGGAATGGTGGCGAAGGAGATAGGGAGCAGATGCAATGGATGCAGGACTGCAATGCACTGTCTCGAGTTGTTTTTTGTACTTTACCGCTTCGGGCCTGTTTGCAAGAGCTTCTGTAATCAAGTGCGCTGGTGTAGTTCACATCCAAGCCCTAGTACAGTAAGCCAGGGATGGTTTCCTCTGGTTGGACTCGTTCCTTATTACATTCTTCTTAATTTTAATTTTAATTGTATTTATACAAGTAGAACTTGATACATAGAGTTGATAAGAAAGAAGTTAGAGGTCTTAAAATTGTTAAGCTGTTCAATTGCCTACTGATCTGCAAAGATAATTCTATTGGACAGGAAATCCAGTGTAGTACCTATTTTGAAATAATAATAATAATAATAATGATAATAATAATAATAATAATAATAAAACATTATTTAAGTCCTACTTTAAACCAACACGTAAGTGTGGACAATTTCCTTATTACATTGTATTTAATGTGAGATAGGAATCAAGTAGAACTTGATAAATATATTGAGTAGAATAGGACAATTCTGTTGGAAAGGAATTCCCGTGTAACATTTATGTTGAAATAGTTTAGTCATAATTGAACACTAAATTATACAATTTGATTGGAGTCTTTCCTCAAATAATTCCTAGTTAATTTCATATAGACATAGGGTAGAATTTGGTGAAGATATTAAGTAGATGTCAGAAGGAGAGAATTCAGAGGTCCTAAAATTGTGTTTTTGTGTTTACTAGCCCCCAGAACTACCATGATCAGACAACACCGTGAACCACAGTGTTTTGTAGCGGTTTTCGTACTCAATTCACATCTCCACCAATGGCCGCTCTCTAAAAATCAGTTTGAATTTGAATAGGATTTCAATAGGACTCAATGAGGAAATACTTGATCAGAGTTCTACTGGAAATTGCATCTTACATTTAGAACATTGCAATTGAATTAGAGTTTAAACGTAATTTGATAAGGAATGAATCCAATCACAACTCCTGTTTCATAATAGAATTTGAAGTAGAATAAGTCTATTTTACTTGATAGTTTACACAGTATGTTCTTTCCAACCGAGTTTCTTTACAATTTAGCTGACATTTAAACACACATTTTGCAAAGACAGTTCAACTCGAGTTTCCACTCAAAAAGTGGAGAACAAAAAACAAACGCACGCTCACAGCGTCCTCACGATTGCATGAAAAGTAGCGAACACCTCGAGAAAACCAAGAAGCCATTGTAAGCACAGAGTGGCTGCTGGAAAGTGATTGCTGGACAGACGGCATTGTTGTTTTGATTTTTTGAGTTTTCTCGAGTTTTCTCTCGATTGCATGAAAAGTGGGGAAAACCTCAAGAAAACCAGCAAAGACCAAGAAAACACACACACACACACACACACAAAAAAAACACAAACCAAAAAAAACGCATACCCCAACAGATACAGGAGTCCATGGGTCTGTTTTTTGTTCTTCTCGAGTCTTCTCACGATTTCATGAAAGTAGATACAACCTCGAGAAAACCAAAGAACCAACAGATACCGGAGTTTATGTTGTTTTTTCTTCTTTTTTTGTGGGTGTTTGTTTTTTTGTTGTTGTTTTGATTTTCTCGAGTTTTCTCACAATTTCATGCAAAGTAGAGAAGTACTCGAGAAAACCAAAAAACAACATACCCCAACACATACAGGAGTCCATTTTTTTTGGGTGTGTGTGTGTGTGTGCCAAACCCCCCCCCCAATGAGGTGCCCTTCTGTTTGGTTTCGTTCTAAAGGGGCGATCGGGTACTTAGTAAGTGGTTGTGGTTATAAGTCTAAGTGAGTTATCACCAGGCTTACTAGCCAGTTGCCTGACGTGCCCAATCGCCCCTAAACCGTTACCCCGTGAGGTCCACCAAGAAGTCCTACACCTACAACGCGGAGCGCGTCTTGGGAAGCGGCTCCTTCGGGGTGGTCTACCAGGCGTGTGTATGTATGTGTGCCCCGCAGCCTATTTCAGGTAACCCTTGATTGGTGGCTGGCTTCTTGTGGAGGCTTAACGGGACACCACTCTTTAACTACCAAGCCACACTACTAACTAGCGGGAGGCTGACTCTTGCGACACAGGGGCAGCCCGTCTTTTTTTTGGATTCGGACGTTCAACATGGCGCAACGGCTTTCCTGTTGTTTTCCCTTTAAAGCATCCAACAACAAGGGCATCCCAAAAAGACACATCCACATAGCCAGGAGAGGATCCGCCGAGGTTTGCTTTCGTTTTGCAATTGCGATAGCGCTGTTTGGGCCTTTTTAGCCAGCCCCTCGGGTTCAGAAGGCAGACAAGATCTAATCCAGTTTGGCCAATTCTGTTGGGGATGATTCTTGGACTGATTTGTTTGCTTATGCGTATCCATGTCTTCCTGGTAACCTTGGATCATGTCACGTAGACTTTGCGAGGCACGAGCCTGGAACATAGCGCCAGTAAGTCCGACAACATGCCTTTAGAAGCACGGCTGTCAAATCTCTGACGGCCAGAGGGGACCTCCTGGGTACCCAATTGTTTCCCCTGTAAATGGAGGCGAGGGGATTCTTCCCTGGAAGTCTTGCCAGTCTTGCCTAGAGAAGTAGGTTTGGTTGGTTGGTTGGTTGGGTGGTTGTGTGCATTTGGTTTGGTTTGGCTTGGCTGGCTGGTTGGTTGGTTGGGCTTGCTCATTTGCAGGATAAAGTTTGTGGCATTCTTCTTCTGGCTTGACAGGCCGTGGTGGTGGAGACGGGCGAGTCAGCCAGAGCCCTGGATTCGTCATTCGAGCGAAGAGCAAGGAATTTGGGCCGGAAAACCGCACTCTTTTGGGCCCCGTATTTTTACTGTACATACCCATTTGGCGCTTTTTTGCTCTAAGTGGAACCATGCGTTGCAACGCGTCGTGCCGCAGCTCCTTGTGAACTACATGCCTGCCCGTGCCACAGTCCACTGTGGCACCTGCTTTTTCGCCCAGGTTGCCATCAAGAAGGTCGCCGTCTCAGCGCTCACTTGTCACATGTCGCTGAATGCTTACCACCACTGGGAAGGCATGCCGCCCGGCTCGTGTGCCAGTTGGCCATTAGTTGACCCCCCAAGGTATTCCAGGACAAGCGATACAAGAATCGTGAGCTGCAGATCATGAAGGAGCCGCAGGGCAGTGCACGACTTACGGGCTACAGTTCGGCTCGAAGATTCCGGGAATGCACTTGCTTGACTTCTTGCTGATGCGACAGGTAGGGAATGTCCGAGTCCGGGTGTTGGGAATGAACTGCAAGAGGATTCTCTTCAACTTTAAGGAAGCCACGTTGGGGACGGTTCATTCCATTTCTTATTCACTCCCTATCGAACCCATTCTGACGTACCATGCCCCTTTCAGTAGCCTTGAATGCCAGAAGTGCCCCATTGGCGCTTTTCTTTTTTAAGCCTCGGGGCTCGCGGCTTGCCGCCAGGAGCTGCGACACCCCAATGTGGTGGAACTCAAACATGCCACGGGCCTGGAGGTTGCATCCAGGTGGCTTTTAGCCGGCTTCTTTCGGTCAGGTCAGCTGAGCATGGCTGGGTGGTTTGAGGGGAGTCTTTTTGGGGGGTGAAACGGCAAAAGCAAGGGGATTCCACCAATTTGCTTGTTCTCGGATACGCAGAAGTTATCCATGTGTGTACATGTATGTACACATTTATGTTTATACACGCTGCAACCCTTGGCGGCTAGCAGTCACCAAGGCTGCTTCTAAGAATGTTGTGACCACTAAAGGTGGAAGCGTGGCGTGCAATGTTTGTGCTGCCGTGCTTTTGCATGGTGTAGGCCTAAAAAGAATCACTTTGCTTCTGGGGTCGCCTCCAAAATTATCTGAGATTTTATGGAGGGCCATTCTCAGAAAATACGGCGTTCCGTGTGCCGCGGGATTTTTGTTCCAAGTCTTCGAGCAATGTCGGGTATGGACGCAGCTCCGTGCGGCCCGAGGCCTTCTACACCTCCGGCGACAAGCCGGGGGAGACCTACCTCAACGTGGCTCGCTTTAGGTTGGCCGACATGGGTGTCCTTTTTGGTCCTTTTGCTCCAAAAATCGATGGGTTTCGATGCCTGGCTTACCTGGTGGTTTCATCTACCAGGGAAACCCCCGTCTATTTGCCCTAAAAGGACACCTATGTTTGCCGAGCTGCCGAACCTTTCGAAGGTTTTCCGAGGAGAACAACGGGGTGGGGCCGCTGCACAAATGGCGTCGAAGAAGATTCCGCCAACTTTCAGGAAGCATGCTCTTGGAAATGGCTGTGTCTTTTGCAGGATTCGGACCCCCCAACATGGTAGTTTTCCTTTTGGTTTCCCTTCAACACCAACCCAATTTGGGTACCAACTCAGCAAAAACACAGACCCACGTATGGGAGTTTAGACGAGCCAGCTGTAGAATCCCTAAGCACCGAACCAGCTTGCAGAGCTGATGTTGAGGCTGGTCAACATCCTGAGTTGAGCTTGTTTGTGTTTCGTGTTGAAGGCCTTAAGCCTGAGCCGCACCGGCCGAAGATGCAGTGTTTACATTGAGGTGTGGCATGTGATGCGGCCGCGGTGGCTCAGGTTGTCATGGAGTACTGCTCAGATACCGTTTACCGAGTTCCGACCTTGGATATCTCGAACTTCAACGTCGGGGGTGGCATATTGCCCAAGAACCTGTGCCGTCCAGGGCGAGACGTGTTTTTGTTTCACTTTTTTCAGTGTCCTCGTGAATGGATGTGTGGCAAGGTCATGAAGCACTACACAAAGATGAAGCAGCCTCTTGGCTGGATTCTGATGGCTTTGCGGCCCGCTTTGGGTTGCTAGGGCCTGCTAGGGTCCGTTGAGCACTTTCCGCCAAGTGGGCTGCGCTGGACCAAGTGCAATGGGAGTCTTGTTGGCCCGGGCGGCTCGTGATGGAATGGCAAACTTCAAAGGACTGGGATCCTAAACTCAGAGCAGCTGACTGGGTTTGGATATGTTTGGATGTATCAACTTACGCTTGCTATTCACTTAGGCACATCCCGAGTGATGTGACTTGTTTTCACGCCACAAAAGGCCAGACTGGGTTTGAGCTTTTCCGCAGGCATTGCAAGTGACAGAAGGGGTGCAGCTACTGTTGGTTCCCAAATGTGACTGAAGGCTTGAAGGCGATTTTCCCTGCTGATGGCATGGCTTCTTGAGCTGGCTAGTCGGACACTTTAGTCATTTCAGTCATTCTGAACGCTGCTGTAACAAACAAAAGCTTGGTTTTGGCATGCCCTTATCGTTGGTGTGAATGGCGGGGATTGGGGCATGGATGTAGGAGCAAACTGCTGGTTGTTTGATTGGTTTGTAGGTTGGTTTGGCGGCCGAGTTTGCAATGGGCTTGCCATTTGTCATTCTTTCCAAAATTTGAGGGGTTGTGGGAGATGCTCGGGCAGATGGTAGCAGGCAACAAGATAACTTCATTTTCTGCAGATTCTGCGCCCGCGTTTCGCTCGCCACTAGCTGAAACGTATTCCGCTTGCGTGCTTCATGTCAGTTTACGGATTCAGGCTGCACATTTGCTCGAAACGCCCCAAGGCCTGTGCCACACATCTTTGTCCAGCTCTTCTCCTACCAAATGGCCAGGGCTTGTGCAGCTCGGACCGCTGAATGCGAGGTGTGAGGTTTGGTGCAAGAGCTTTGCAGGTCTGGGCCCGGCTTTGCTTCAACCCCCCCTTCAGAAAAAAAAGGAAAGAACCCCAAAAGAACCTCCATTTTGTTGCTCCCCCGCATTTTGCACCCTTCCTGCTTGTGACAAAAGAAGTAAGCCAAACATATGAAGTCCCCCAGCGTGGCCAGCGTTTGATGGTCAAGCCCGGGCTACCACTTGTTGCGCCATATCAAAGAGGCAGCACTGTGTGGTGCATGCCGCGCAGACTTCGATCACCCAGCCAAATCACCTGCCTGCCAGCGAAATCGACCGAAACAGCCAGCCAAATTCACAAGTCACACAGCCAAGGATTTTTCCTGCCCGCCAAATTATGAGAGGTGGATTAGATGCGGCCCAAATTCAACACCACAGCACTCCCCAATTGTGGCGTTGCCTCCCAGGCCTGTTCCACATTGGGATCACACAGCGAGAACCGAGCGGATGCCAGCCAGCAATAGGCACCTGCCACGCACGCTGCAGACTTGGACAAACAAGCGGTAAGCAATGAGAAGCACCCCCATCAACTGAGCATTCCGAACCGCGTTGTCAAGATCAGCTGGATGTGCCGGGCGTGTCCCGGTAGTCAACAAGAACCCCAATAAATTGTGACAGGCTGGGCTGCAATCTATAACATTTTGTATTCATCATGGCGGCGCGTGCGACAGGCGGCAAGCAGAGCCCGAAGAGTTTCAGTGATACCGTTCGCCCGAGCTTTGAGTTGCGAACTCTGGTTTTTGACTTGCCCACATTCCTTCTTCATATGACGCTTGTCCATGAAGGGTGTTATCATTTGCTGATATTTGCTGCCTCCTAGTTCAGCGAATGTGAGCCGTCTCTTCTTGCCGAAAGCCATCCAAGCACCAGCATCCGGGAGAAGCTGCCAAGGGACGCCTGAGCTCACACATGGGGTTTACTTTCTTGCTCCAATTATCACACCTTGCCACACACCCTCAGTCCCCAAACTTGAGCATGCAGTCAAAATACTGGGAAGCTGAGCAGCACGGGACTTATGCAAATCGCAGCTCACCAGATGGCCTAAGAGGCACGGCAGTCAATTACAGCTCCAAAGTTGCCGGTTGTTCAGTACCGCTGACGCCCAGCTAGGCCGCCTTGACCTTTGAAGCAGGGCAAATTTGTTTCGCCCCCCCCGGCCTGCGGTGCAAGGCATACATCCACGCGGTGGGCATTTGCCACCGAGACATCAAGCCGCAGAACCTGCTGGTGGATGGCACCGGGGCCCAGAGGAAAACCTCACGGAAGCGAAGCCGGGGGCGAGACGGGGCTGGAGGATCCCCCCCCAAGCCAGCCATATGAGTTCTCCGTGTTCGGGACCATCATGCGCGCGAAAAGCGATGGCTGGATGCTCCCCGGCCTTTTTTTGGCGGGGGGGGGGGGGGGGTGCGACCCTTTTGCGTGGCCCTAATCGCCATGCAAAAGGGTGTCATGGCGACTCTCACGCATCACTGGGGAGGTATCAGGGTCCGTGACCTTCCTGGATGTTCGGCCAAGTTAGTAAGTGGTCAGCCACCTGGCACATAAGACACCACGAACAAGGGAAACTCTGCTTAGGGGGACTTCTAAGCGGGTATAACTTGGGTTACTGATTACTGACTAACTGGGCCGAACACCCAAGCATCCAACTTTGGCTTCTCATAGACAGAGGCTTTGGACCAATCAAGTAAGATTGGTGTACCCTGGTAATGCCCATGCAACTGACGCTCGTTTGGGGCCTGGAGTTTGTCCTCCTTCAGGGGAGCTCAACATTAATTGCACAGGGGCAGGACCACCCAAAAATGCCTCGGGCAATGCACACGTAGAGCGTTTCCCGGCATCCGTGAAGCAGGACGCTGTGCTAGTTTTACGTCCCACGTCCGTGAAAACCGACTGAAATCTGCCCCAGGCAGCTTCTAGTTGTTCAGTGCTACAGTGCTACCCGTTTGCCCTTCTCCTTCAATGGTTAACCCGCAAACGGGATGGTTCACTTTTTCTCTTGTTCGGTCACGAAATCCCAAGCCGCTTCTTTTTCTACCGGATCACGGGTTGCAACGGGTTTTGCCTGAGGTCACACGCACGCCTTGAAAGTCTGTGACTTCGGCTCGGCCAAGCCATTGGTGAAGGGCGAGCCGAACGTGGCTTACATCTGCGCCACGGCAGATGGGGGATTTCTTAAGACAGGAAATTGTAGCCTACTTAAAGAGGCATTGTACTTAGCAAGTGGTTAGTAAACCTGGCTACAACCCACTTTGCACCATCCGATAAAACCCTGGAGTAGAAGGGACCAGTTGCCCTATGGGTGAGGTGTTGCATTCTCGAGCCAAGGCTTGCAGAGCAAACCATAGTTCGACTCGACTCTGGTCCGTCTTCTTTATTGTTTGAGAGACAACTTTCACCCGTGCCAAACAACTTTTTTGCAGGAACACCCAACCGGGCCAGTCAGTCGGTCGGTCGGGGCGGTTTGCGATTGCTTCTTTTTTAAGTCTTCCTGTGCTATGGCTCCAGGGGATTTGATAGAAATGAAATGTCAATGAACACTTTTCTGTCAACCCGCATGTTTTTGGAAGTGGATCTCTCAGCACCGCTCTTCCAACACTACCTTTGTGTGCCGGATGCGGATGCCTTTTTTTGGGGGGGGGGCATAAGAACAATACTAAGAACAATGCACGGCTGCAAGCGCCTTTCTTTCAAGCAAGTTGGGGAGGACTGTTGTGGAGCAAGACCTGGCTCCGCGAGCAGGCTGTAAACCAGTCAGCAGCCACAGACCTAGTCAGAGATAGTCTATTGTAACCGCCGAATTCCTGGAACGCTTTGGCAGATCCTGTCAAGCAGCGTTGCCGCCCACATTTAGCTGCCGTGTTTTGGGCCATGGGGTTCCGTCATCGCAGGACCAACGGGCTTTGATTGAATCCAGGCTCTCGCTACTATCGTGCACCAGAGCTCATTTTCGGCGCAACGGACTACGGCTTTGCCTGGGCCCGAGAAGTGTTGCTGAGAGAGCAAAGGGTTGAGGCCTTGTTCCAGTGTTGCGGATGAGACGGGGCAAAATGCCAAACCACTGGCTGGAGGGATGAGATAGGGAGGAGCTTGCGGCGCATTTTGGCCCCGTACTGGCATGATGTTTGAAAGGTGGCGGTTTGATGTGCTGGGAAAGAAGCAGCCAGGTGATCGACATCTGGTCCATGGCCTGTGTGTCGGCTTGGCACCCAGCTTGACCCAGCATCGGGCATGGCAGGTGCATTGGCGCGCGTTTCTTTCTTCCTGTTTGGTGCCACTGGAGGGGTTACCCCGCTGGAGGGGTGGAGGGCTCTGGCAAAAGAGCTCATAAAACTACGCCGACCTGACTAATCAACACTGAAAGACTGCAGCCTGGCCACGGGTGCTGCTTGTCCAACCTTCAGCCCCTTGTTGGTTTGATGTCATGTGGCATCTGTTGTGTGGCCGGTCAACCATCCCACACACGAACCGCACTTTCCCTGATGAGCGCTGTTGGCAGAAGCTTTGAGTGCTTCAAGGGGCAGGGAACTTAGTACGTGGTTAGTAAGCCTGGTTATAACCCACTTAGGAGACTTATGACCATGGTAAGCGGGTCATAACCATGGTTATTCCCCACTTATCTGACGTACCCGATCGCCCCTTTGAGTGCATCAGCCTTCAAGCCGCACGCTTGAAGGCTGAGCTCATCTTGGGACACCCGATCTTCCCGGGAGAAAGTGGGGTGGACCAGCTGGTGGAGATCATCAAGGCAGGACAGGGCTTAGGAAGTTGCTAGGCTTGGCCGTCAACCCTTTGGTATGTCCCCGAAGGTTGCAAACCCCACCACAAGTGGGGCACAGGAGCGAAATTTCAGCTGGACTTAGCGCGTCATTGGGCGGTTGGCATTGACCGTTGAGGTACAAAGAAGCGACCAGTTGTCCTCTATCCGTTTGACCCAGTCCTTTTCTGAATTTAATGCACCTGCAGTTTAACTGTGTTGCTGTCAGATGGGTCTGGTGGTGTCCCTTGAAGTGGTGTCAACGGATGACAGATCAGGAGGAGTTTTCCTGTGAGCCACCAACGTCAAGGGGCAGGGTCTTAGGAAGTGGTTACTAAGCATAGCTTCTGTGGGGTATACTCTCCTCCCACTAACATGGCACCTGACAGGGGGTCCCTTCAGGAGGAAACTAATCTTCCAGGCACCTCCCTGCAGTTGCCATGCTAGTAGGAGGGAGTATAGGCTTACTAACCCCTTACTAGGTACAATGCCCCTTTCAGCCGTCTCTTGCTTCACTCGGCATTCGCCTCCGGAGAGGGCCGTTCTTAGCGCCGTCCGAGAGGTGCTGGGCACGCCCACCCGCGAAGAGCTCATGGCGATGAATCCGAACTACACAGAGCAGCTTGGCGTCGGCTAAGAAAGCGAGCTAGTGGATGGAAGGCCGGACGCGGAGCTAGGGGTATCCCAATTTGCCTTCAAAGAGAGAGACTGCTGGAGCTACCAGGGGTTCTGTAAGGATACGGTAGCAAGGGCCAGCTGAAGTGAAGCTTCTACCTTGGCAGCTGTTTATGAGGCTAGGTCCCCTGGCTCAACTTAGTGAGCCACAAACATTGCGAGGAAATGGTTTCGCACTTGTCGGTATGCTGCGTTGTTTTGGTGCCCCATTTCACGTCGAGGCGCCTTGTTGCCGAGGCCCCTTGCAATGCACACTTTTGACAGACCGCCGCCATCCGTTGCAGCCTGGGGCCGTCGACCCCAAACAGATGTGGGTCACAAGGAGGCGCTGTAAGTTGCTTGTTCTGGTTCCTGATGGGCCATGTGTTCGTTTCTGAGATGCTTCAACATGGCCCTGCAGCATGTTGAGCCCTTTTGAAGAGCATTGAGCGAGCCCAGGGCAAACGACTTGAGTTGCTCGAGACGCGCGCATCAAACCCATCCCCTTCCCTCGGAGTCTCATAGCCATGGAGCAGCTGCGAATTTTGCAGCAGAAGAGCGCCCTGCTGGTGAAGCTGCGCTCGGATAGCTCGCTCTCAGCTCAAGAGGCCCCGGTGCTTGGCACAGCTGAGCAAGGCGAGCAAGGCACAAGGCAGTACGGCAAGTCTGGAGGGGGCTGACCTTCCTGGAACTCCATTTGAAGGTTTACCGGAAACATCTACCTTCCTTGGGAACATGGCGCGTTTGGGATTTGCGCATGGCAGTTCAGAAAAGCAGTCAGGAGAGCTGCATCGCGGAGACCTTACTGGCGATGCAGCATAGCTTTGGAGAGGAGACGTTGCAACGGCTGAAGCTGCTTCGAAGCTACTTACCCTTGCTGGAAGACCAGGCAGGGACCAAGAATTGCACATCAGGATATGGAGTCGAGTCTTGGACATGGGCGAGGGAATGACACCCATAAAAAGTGGGGCACCCCTTCCACCAATATCTTCTACAGAGATGTTCTGAAGTGCTTTGCAGTAGCCGAGTTTTGCTTTTCCTCTCGGAAAAGGCCTCACCTCCGCCCAGAAGTCCCAGCGAGGGTTTGTGGGGACCGGCAGGCTCTCGCGGAGCTGCTGCCGGCCCCAGCTCCCGCGGCGCCCACGGCGCCCGTTGCGCCCGCTGCCCCGGGCGCGTGCCATGTGACCATCGAGGGGGTGGACTTGGCGCAGTCGGCGCTGGAGGACTTCGCGAGCTCCTATTTCATGTGGCCCGGCAGGGGGGTTCGAGCAAAAAATGGTTTGGGGATTTGCGCCTTGGGTGAAAAGCAGCTGTTCTCCCCCCCTGTTGTTCAAGGAATCTTTTAGAAGTCTCTTAGTATCCAAACCGTATTCTGGAGAGATGGAGGTTTCTCATGTCCTGAAACCAACGTCAGAGGGAAAGTTCAAGAACCGTGTTTCTCAAACGTTACCCCAACGGTGTGCACTTGATGCGCTTTAGCTATAGATAGTCGGGATACAGTAGCCTGGAGATGGTTGATCCATGTGCTGGGATCAGAGCCTGAGCTTTGCTTGCAGAAACCTGGCTAACTGTGTAGACCTCACTGCCGCCACGCTCGCTTCAGGTCGAGCCAACCGTTACTGTAGATATTTTGCCTCAACCATATTGAGGGACTCATGTGGCTCTCTCTGCCTCTCCCTTCACCTCTCTCTCTCCCTCTTTCTTTCTTTCTTTCTTTCTTTCTTTCTCTCTCTCTCTCTGTCTCCCTGTGGGTCGCAATGTGTATTTGTTCATTCTACTTGCAAGGCAGAACCCCTCCCCCATTTGCCGTTCTTGTCAGCCCAGATCCCGGCCGTCGAAACACACGAAACAGATTGCTTCATGGGTTGCGCAGCCGGATGCTCATGGAGCCCCATTCCCGTGGGTTCCACATGAGGGGGGACTGCCGTGGATGGACGACTTTTTTGCACCTTAACCCTGGGATGGATTCAACTCGCCCAGTAAATGCCCCACAAAGGGTATGGTTTCAACAGGGGTTTCATTTTGTGGTGCCGAAGCGACTTCGCCACCATTCGGACAGCGTGGCATGCGATGAGGTTCCACGGTCTGGAGACGTCGCCGGGAAATTTGTTGAAGTTTTTGCCCTTCCTGGGCTTCTTGGAGGGCCACCTCTACTGCCTGGATCAGCAGAATGAGGACTCCCTGACGGCCGCGGCGGCGGATTTGCAGGCATGGCAATTGAGTCGTTGCCTGGAGGCTCAAGCATGGGGTCGTTTTGGTTGGGCTTTGTTGAGGCGTAATTACATACTCCCCCACTTTCGAGGATGCGGCAAATCCCGTGTTCGGACAAGCGTTCACAGCGCCGCTTTCAGAAATTTCGCTTCGGGCCCCTAGCTGCACGGCGCGCTGTTTGCGCTGGCGATATCTGCTGCTGAGTGCGCAAAGCTGCGGGTAGAATGCTGGCAATGCATAGTTCAGAGGTGAGGATCAGAAACATTCCACCTTACAGAAGCAAATCAGTGGTATCCATCGTCATGCGCCACGTCTCTTTCGGATATACCTTAGCCTGGCATGCAGATGCTACGTTGGGTGTTATTGCTGCCCAGACGAACATGGAAGCTCCAACCCCATGGAAAGACTTGGCTCCACTGACAGCGTTCTGAGAGTTTCCACATTAGTCTGCGGGTGTGTACTGTTGCCCAAGGTGCAGAGGTTCGTTATGGTTCGTTCATTTGAGGTGGACCTCCTGTAAGCTAACCCTGCTTAAAGGGGCAGGGTACTTAATGGCTCTTGTGGGTGAAAGGCCAGGCTTACCACTGGGGACAAGTTGTTGCTGTCAAACCTCAGACCTAGGCGCGCTTCCCCTAGGCGCCGCTCCCGGAGGATCCCTTCGGGCCACTACGGGAGGTCTTGAAGGCGGGGGAGGGGCCCCGCTTCGGAGCGAAGCTGGACGGCTGTTGCGCATTGAAGCGGTGGCTGGCAAGATGTCCAATATGGGTAAGCCTTTTTCTAGGGACCCCCCCAAAAAAAAACAAAGCATATATGCATATATATATATATGTATAAATCATACAACAATATATGTTTGGGGGGGGGGGGGGTACCCTCAAAAAAGACACCCATATTGTGCCATGTTTTGCTTAAGTGATATCGTTTGTTCAGTAGCTTTGGTTGTTGTGGTTTGTTCGGCTGCAATTGTTGCTTGCCTCATTGCTGCCTGGTTCATACGGCGGGAAGGATGCGGGTAGAAACGGACAGTGGCAGTGGCCCCCTTTTGGAACACCCGCATGGCTCTTGAAGAAGCTGGGTATTGCCCTGCAGTAAGTACTGGGCGCAAGGTTAGGCCACGAGATGTGGCAGTCCATGAATTTGCCTTTCGAGTGGCTGTGATCATGGAGGTAGGCGTGCCGAGGACGCCTGGCAAGGCAAGGTATAGAAGGTACTGGCGCAGGTCAAAGGTCGCCTGTGTCAACGTCACGATAGGGCACTGCTCCCCCCAACTTGGTAGTGCCAAGTTCAACCCCAAAAGAAGTCAGCAAGACCCGGACGAACTCTGCCGAGTTTCGGCCACGGGGCAGCGTCAGGAGCGGACTTGGCTCACGCCCCGTCTGGAGCAGGAGCTGGCCCAGGTCGGGGCTCCAGGAATCTCGAGGGATCGTGAGGGGCGTGCGCTAGAAAGACGGCCTCCCTCGGTTGGTCCTGTTGTTTTTGTTTTGTTTTGGGGGTACTAGAATTCCAACCAACCAACAACCAACCAACCAACCAACCAACCAACCAACCAACCAATCAACCAACCAACCAACCAACCAACCAACCAACCAACCAACCAACCAACCAACCAAAGCCTCTTTCCTGAGGTGAGGAAGTGGTTGATTTGAATGAGGGCAGTTTCCAAACCACGCATAAGGCGGCGACCCGAAATCCACGGAAACTACTCAGTTGGCACGCCAAAAAGTGAATCAAATCCCCAAAGTGAACAGTGGCAGCTGCTTCCGGGTTTCCTGAACAATGGGCGGCCTCACCAAATTGTGTGGTTTTCCCTGGGTCTTCCCTTGTTTGGCTTGAAGCCGGCCCCAACAAGGGTGCGTGCCTGTCAGTTGGCATCCTTCCTTCTGCTCTTTTTGCGAGCGGTTTTTCCTTTCAACCCACAGGGGGCGCGCTTCTGGTCGCTGGAGCGGAAGATCTGCAGAGCGTTGCGCGGGGAAGGGCGTCTGCTCCAAGCCGAGGAGGGGCGAAGGATGGGGGGCCGTACTGCGGATGGACAGAATCCGATGGATGAATCTCTATGGGTATGTCACATGTCTGTTTTTTGGGGGTGCCTTTCTTGTTTTTGTTTTTTTTCTTCTTTGTTTTTTTTTGGGGGGGGGAAAGGAAAGGAAAACCCAGCATTTTGGGGTCCCCTGTAAAAACGAATAAACTTTAAACAGACACACTTTTAGGAAGAATGGGATGAAAGCACCCACTGGTGCAGGATCTTGTCCAGCCGCAGTATGGGTGTGTTTTTGCGAAGGTACGTTATTTTGGATCTGGGTTAAAGCGGAAACCAACAGGAAAACCGCAAGTGTTTGGGCCTCCTTGTCTTGACACAAATCCTTGAGGGATGGGAAGCAAAAGGCCCAGAGTCTGGAGCCGCGTTTTGCCGCCTTTTCAAAAGGGCCCTCCCAAAAACAGCTCACGAGTTCGCTGCTGACTGCTTGACCTTTCGCTTATGCTGGGTTGCATTTGGTGGCGTTCATGGTCCTTTGCCGCAGATGATGGGCAATATCGATCGTAGCTCATTCAATGGTCGTGCCAAAAAATCCAAGGCCCCGTGACATGGTGGGAGGGGCTTCAGCAAAGATCCAGCGGCCTAACCTTCGTTCAACAGGCCACTATTGCCATTTGATCTTCGCATGTCCTTTTCCTTCCGGACCGGGGCCCTAGGCTCGTTTTTTCACCCACACCAAGCGAGTGTCCCGAATTATGACACCCAGGTGCCATTGGAAAAGTGGGTCCGGTCATGAGGCAAAGCAATAGATTCGACCACCAATGCCTGTACCACTTCTGTTTGAAGCCAGGGCTCAGGTTGCGATGTTGGAGGCTCCTTGCTCGTGACACCCCATTCATCGGTTTAAACTATTTGTTGCTTGACTTCTTGTCCATGCAGTCTCTGCAAACAGGGAGTAGTCCTGACCAAGTGCACCGGTGCTTTTCTTTTGTGGGGGGGCCTTTGGAAGCTGAACGAAATGTTTGGTCGGAACACGTGCAGCCAGCTGCCCTTTTTCCCCGTGAGGCAGAGGAGGCCCTGAGGCTGAAATCCTTCGACTACCGAGCCATGAACCTCTTGCTGTACCGCATGCGAGGCGGCTTCCGGGCGCAATTACCCAGGTCGCGCATCGTGCTTGCTTGGGGGCATGGGTGCTTTGAGGGCTGCAGTTGCTTGTGCGGCCGCCCGCTTTCAAGAGACAAGGTTCCCATCGGAAACAAAGAGGCCAGAAACCGAAAGCGACGGAGCGTCCGACTCATTTGGCTATGGGTCAAAGCCCCGTACCCCCAGTGAACATCCCAATCCCCACTAAAATCGGCTAAAATGGGTGGTGCACCTCCCCCAAAATGGGATTTTATTTATTGGTGTTGACAACCACGGCCATTTTTTGACCCTCCTGCAGGCGAGGAGCCGAACGAGGCCTTCATGGACTTCTTGGTGACGTCGGAAGTGCTGGTGGAGATCGGGGATGACTTGGTGGACTATTACGAGGATGTCGAGAGGAACTCCTTCAACATCTACCGGTGCTGCCCGAATGCATTCAAGCCCCTGAAACCGGTTTGGCGGGGATGAACAACTTGGCCGTGAAAGTTGGAAATGTAGAATTAACCATGAGGGAAACTGGCAACCGAGACTCAGCGGTGAATCAGAAAGCCAGATGAGACTGACCTGGGAAAAGTGAGAAAAAAAACAACGAAAACCAGCCAGCCAGCCAGCCAGCCAGGGGGACTGTCCAAACCGTCCGTCCACCTGACCAGCTTTCCATGTGCTCCGAGCGCAACCCCAGTTCTTGGGGGCAAAAAGAGCCTTCGAGGCTTCCTGGCCCTGCACGGCGTTCAGGGCGGCGCAGAGCTGCTGCGCTTTATCCGAGAGGCGGAGGCCGGACAAGTCCAACGAAGATGCATGCCACATCCTAGATGTTTTCTGTTTGGTTTCCACCTTTTCGACAACATTGGTTGCTTTTCAACCGATCACAAATCCGCCGCAGCTTCAACCCTCATGCACGTCAAGCTTCATGACGTCAGCCGAGCGCCCATCATGGCTTTATAGATTGGGGATGATTGGGGGTTGGTGACGTTGTGTGCCCCTTTTTCATTGCTTTGATTTGGAGGGTTGATCAAAAGCTCCTTTTGGGGTGACCATTAAGGAAAAACGGCCAAACAAGAGGACTTTCCCCACATGGGAGGAACAAACTAGGGGCCGAACGTAATATTGATCAACCCCCAACCCACTCCCCCTTCCCATGGGGAATGGCGACCAACCCCCGAATCCCCCCTTCAGAAACAGCCCGATGGGGGTTGATCCCTACATGGGCTGACCATTAGGGGTTCATGCTACCATCCGAGAATATCCATCACCCATGTCACCCTTCACCAGGCCGCGTACCGCCGGGCGTTAGCCTCCCTGGAGCCCTCCCTCGCGAGCGCCTGGCTGCGGCAGACGCGGCTCAGCAAACGCCACAGCTGCGGCAGCGAAACGCCCCAGGGCGCGCAGTGGGAGGCGGCGACGCGGGCGGTTTGGTTTGGGCGGCGGCCTGGGCCGGCTCAGTGCAGTTTTTTGTTTGTTTGTGTGTGTGTTTGGGTTCAGTGCATGTTTTTTGTGTTTTTTTGGTTCAGTGTCGATGTGTTTTGCTTTTTTGGGGTTCCCCCACTCCAACAAAGCCAAAGATCGAAGTTGGCCATTATGACCGTTTACACCAGGCCAGACCACAACCATAGTTGTTTTTTGTTGTTGTTGAGGGGAATGTTGAAGTGGTAGTCAAGACCCACAAGAACCCCTGCATAAAATCTGGCGATAAACGCACCTAAACCAAGTCCGAACTCAACCAAAACAAAGCCCCGACTTAACCGAAGCCACCCCCTAAATCCAACCACTAGTGTTGAGTTGAACATGGCAGGAGCATTTTCTGAAACTGGCCTTTCCACCTTCGAATTGAAACACGCGTTCACCATTGCCAGCTCACCTGCTGCATCGCAGGATGTGTTTGGAGGTTGTTTAGATGTCCTCAGCATAGCAGTGGCCAAGCTAGTAATGATGACCCCGTCGGCCGATTCAAGTGGTGAGTTCATGACCGTTTTTTGCCTCCCAGCCTCCCCGATTTTGTTGGCAGATCCCCGTGCCGGTGGAGTTTGCGACGGGATGAGACTCTGAGACTCGATGCCACGGCAGCACCTCCCCCCACGCCAGCACCTCACCTTGAGCCGACGTGGAGATGTGGAGCGCTCCTCGGTGCCAAGGTGACGAAGAAAGCGCGGCCGGATAGCGCTGTCCAGGTCCAGCCGGAGCAGAAGACAGGTGCCGTGAGACGGCTCGAAGGGAAGTCTGAGCATTTCAAGCCTTGCGGTTGGGCGGCAGGATGCAATAGCCAGGCGTGGGACAAAAGCGTGCCTGCCGGCTTGCCGTTTGGGTTGCGGGGTGGATCCGCCCTTGCCTGACGGTGAAGGGCCAGAGCACACTCACAAGCAGGGATTGGACAAGAAATGCAAGAGCTTCTGCGGTGTTCGCATGTAGACATATGTGCAAAAATAGCCTATATATATATATATGCATAGAAGCTGCCTTCCCTATGCACAAACTACAAGGCAGCAGCCAGCTTGCGTGCTGGCCGGACCGTACCGCGCCCCAATCTCCACCTTTGTGTCAGGCTCAAGCCCAGCGAAAAATTCCGACGCCCAGGTTCAAGTTCCCGCAGATCAAGCCGCATCCCTGGCACAAGGCCATCGGATGTCCGGGTTTGGCCACGTGCGCTAGGGTCGCCAGGGTTAGGACGCTGCCAGTGGCGGAAGCAGACGTCGTCCGCATGGGCTTGGTGAGTCTTGTTAGTAAGCCTGGTTATAACCCGCAAAAGTCATGGCTATAAGTCTCCCAAGTGGGTTATAACCAGGCTTGCTAGCCATTTACTAAGTACCCTGACCATTTGAGCGGCGTTGTCAATCCTCCAGGCCCCAAGTTGGCGGCTTTTTCTTTTGGCGTGAAAGCCTAGTCTCGGGGCACTCGTTCTTTTCCCCATCCCCTTTTGAGGTCAGACATCGGTCATTAAAAAGCGGCAGATTCTCCTTAACCAGGAATACCAAGCTGAAGTCCAAGGTTTTTCATGAGCCCATGCTAAGCCTAGTGTTAGCACCTCTATGATATAACTCCCCCCCCCGTTTTTGGAGTTTGAAGCGGGGTCAACAGGAAACCAACCATGAGGAAGCCAGTAGGGAAACCACCAAAAAAGATTTGACTTTTTACACAGGGGCAAAGTTACCCATGGTCAAAGCTGGGGGCCTTTGAGGGGTGGATCACCCCCCCAATTTTCCCAAATCCACCCTCCCCCCCCCCACTTCCCATTTTCAGAAACATCTTGTGGAAGGGGGGGGGAATGGGGCTCCTATGATAATGACTTCAGAAACATCCCAGGGGGTGGCTAGGCTCGCCCATGGTCATTGGGGAAAAGTGACCCATGGCCATTTGGGGGCCAGGAATATTGATCAACCTCCATCTCACTTCTCACTTCCTGAGTTCATGAACTTTCAGCTTTTTGGGAAGACCATGTTAGTGGTAAATGTAAAGTTTGGACTTTTTTTGGGCCATCCACTCAGCAAGTGAGGCTTTCTTCCCACGGGAGCGCATCAAACACTTCGCCCCGAACAAAAAAGCGGCCAGGTCTTCCGCGCGCGGACCTCGGCCGATGCGGTGGACTACATCTCCAAGCTGCTGGCGCGCCGGGGGGGGGGGTTTCAACACGGGTTGCCCGGTGGTCCTTTCGGTGGATGCCCCGCCCGCCCCCCCCCAAAAAAAAATAAAAAATAAATAAATAAACAAACACAAAAACAAAAACACAGGGAACAAGGACAGGAAACTGCCTGACTTGCGGTAACTTACCATATTGTGGTTGAGCAGGGGTGGTTTGACTTGGAATACTTGGGGCATCCAATGTCTCTCAACAGTCACAGCAGTAGAGGATGGTGCTTTTCCAAAGGCTTTCTGTCCACTTCCATGGCTGTTGGAAAAAGAGGGTATTTCTCTTGCAGGCTTAGTCGTCAGTAAGCAAAGAAAGGGTGAGCATGGACTTCCGGCTTCTTTGGAATGGGAGCACCTCGCTCTTGCCAATGGGAGCCAAGTGACTAATGTCGCGCCAGACGGTCAAAACCGCAGGAGCCTAAGGGCTCAGCCACCCGGGTCAGGGAGAGGAATCTTGGGTAAGCGCTGCCCAAGCTGTGGAAGGGAATCTGCAAGGAGGTGCCTCCCTCCAAAAAAGCCTGGAAGTAGACGGGATGGCACAACTCGGCCAATGGCAGAGAGGGAGGGAGAGTGAAAGAAAGCGAGAAAGAGAGAAAGAGAAAAAGGGAGAAAGAAAGACAAGACAAGACAAGACAAGACAAGACAAGACAAGACAAGACAAGACAAGACAAGACAAGACAAGACAAGACAAGACAAGACAAGACAAGACAAGACAAGACAAGACAAGACAAGACAAGACAAGACAAGACAAGACAAGACAAGAAAAGACAAGAAAAGAAAAGAACAGAACATAAAATGAAGAAAGAAATAACTAACATAAAGAATGAAAGACAGAAATAAATACATAAAGAAAGACATAACAAAGAAAATAAAACAACATAAAATAAGAAAGAACAAATAAAATAACGAAAGAAATAAACCAGACATGAAAAGAACACAAAATAAATAAAGGAATAATTAACAGAAAGAAAGAAAGAAAGAAAGAAAGAAAGAAAGAAAGAAAGAAAGAAAGAAAGAAAGAAAGAAAGAAAGAAAAGAAAAGAAAAGAAATAAAGGAAGAAAGGAAGAAAGGAAGAAAGGAAGAAAGAAAGAAAAAGAAAGAAATAAAGAAATACATAAATAAAGAAAGGAAAGAAATAGCGAAAAGAAGGGAAAGAACAGAACGAAAGAAAACAAGATAAACATAAAAAGACAGCAAGTAAGTAGGTAAGTAAGTAAGGAATAAATAAAGAAACACAGAAAGAAAGACACAACAAAAAGGCAAACAGAAACAAAGTCAGCAAGAAAGCGAGAGAGAGAGAGAGGGCGATACACACACATATATATATATATATACACGTATAGATATACCTAATAAATAGCTAAATAGAGGGAGGGAGGGAGGGAGGGAGGGAGGGAGGGAGGGAGGGAGGGAGGGAGGGAGGGAGGGAGGGAGGGAGGGAGGGAGGGAGGGAGGGGAGGGAGGGAGGGGAGGGAGGGAGGGGAGGGGAGGGGAGGGGAGGGGAGGGGAGGGGAGGGGAGGGGAGGGGAGGGGAGGGAGGGAGGGAGGGAGAGGGAGGGAGGGAGGGTGGGAGCAACGGAGAGACAGGAATGGCAGAAAGTTGCGGGAGCTTCTGGGCGGGGGGTCCCTGACGCAGGTCTACGACCCGAAGCTGCGACCACCTGGCCTGCAGCTGGGGGCCCCGAATCCCGAAGCCTCGCTTGGGAAAGATAAGTGACCATTGGCAGTTGCGCAGCGGAGAGTCTATCCTCTTTCCCTTTACCAGGGTCGCGCGACTGGGTTGACCAGCTCTCAGGCGGCTGGTGCAGGTGGTACCGCTCCACAATTGAGGAATCTGCTTACAGGGATAGCTGCCACTTGCCAGGGGCAAGGAGCCCTCCATAGGTAAGAGTCAAGGGAGTCGCCCGATGTATCTGTGAATCAGGGACTAGTGGCACTTTCTGGTTTCTACTGAGACTACCTGGGCAGCCAAAGAATTGTCTTGGGGCTCCACCTGCCTTCACGACTTGTTTTCGGGGATCTTGGAGTTTGATTTTTGATTTTGCAACCGCGGCAGTTTGATGTTTTGACCGCGTGCACACGGGCAGGCCTGTTGCCTGCCACCCCCAATTTCGGCATGGAGACCAGTACATTCAAAAACGAGGCATCTCCCTTGCAGCTGAAAGGGCACCCACACAACCGCCCTCCCTTCCTCCCCCCAGCCCGCGCGTTTGTTCCACTTGGCCAATTGGCTCAGGTGCTGCACTCATGCCCTCTTTGACGACCTCCGAGATCAGAACACGCGCATCAGCAGCCGTGGCCTCGTTTTTCCCTTCAGGCGGCCAAAATGCCGAAGGAGCTTTGGGTGGGCAGCGGGAGATCTCATTTGTTTACCTGTTCTTTTTTAGGATGGTGAATGCTGTTGGCTGACCGCGCTTGTCCAGTTCTCCCGGTCAGTGAGACGCAGCAACATTTACTTCACATTTGGGAACATAAAAGGCACAGGCAAGCATGACCACATGTCCTGCCTTGGGGATCCTTTGCTCCTGCCGCAGTGCCAGAGAGTGTTTGTTTCCAGCGCTCCGGAGGGTGTGGGTGTGGGTGTGTGTGTGTGTGTGTGGGTGTGTGTGTGTGTGGGTGTGTGCGTGTGTGCGTGCGTGATAGCGTGCGTGCGTGCGTGCGTGCGTGTGTGCGTGCGTGCGTGCGTGCGTGCGTGCGTGCGTGCGTGCGTGCGTGCGTGCGTGCGTGCGTGTGTGCCTGTGTGCCTGTGTGCCTGTGTGTGTGTGTGTGCCTGTGTTTGTGTGTCTGTGTGTCTGTGTGTCTGTGTGTCTGTGTGTCTGTGTGTCTGTGTGTCTGTGTGTCTGTGTGTCTGTGTGTCTGTGTGTCTGTGTGTGTGTGTGTCTGTGTGTCTGTGTGTCGTGTGTCTGTGTTCTGTGTGTGTGTGTGTGTGTTTGTGTGTGTTTGTGTGTGTGTTTGTGTGTGTGT